GCGGCGGAGTTATGCCGTAACACACATAAAAAAAAAAAAAAATATACCGACGAATTGAATACCTCCTTCTTTTGGGAAGTCGGTCAAAAAGAAACTAGCATAAAATGTAACGTAGATTTTGCAGTCAGTCAATTTTAGCTTAAATAAGCTGTGTGTAGCTTAACGTTTCATTTCTTAAAGAGTCTTATCCATATTACAATAGACTCTTTTTAGTAATAATCCAATTTTCCAAAAAAAATTAAATATGTTATTCATCTATTTAATCGACGATATATCATTACTACAAATGCATTATTAACGAATAAATATTAAATGAAATCTTTGTAGCAATTCAAGTACCTATAGTTATATGTCTATAAAACAAACAAATCAATCAGCCGCTAATACACAAGTAAGTTACTTATAAAAATAGGGGACAGTGTAAGTGTTAGTTGAAGAGTTATAGCCATGGACAATCTATTTAACTCCGGTATGAACTTCCTAAATTTAAAATTGATATAAAAACGATATTGCTATTAACCGAAATTAGTAAAATTTTGAAACTAATTTATAAGATTCTCTGAGTTACAAAAAAGCTTTTTTTTTAATTCATAGTACGAAAAGCAATATCGGACTCAAAGAAAATATAAACATGTTTTGAAAGAGATATTGGTAGTCATTGAATTGTTTGAATAAAATATACATCGAAAACATTTATATAGACGACAGAGATAAATAAAATTAAAACTTAAGAAAAGTTCGGGCGAATTAATTTATAACCCCGTAATCCTTTAATTAACGTACAATAGACATCGTAGTTACTTTATTATAAAAGCTGAAAAGATTGTTTGACTGTTATCTAAATAATCTAACTAATATTATAAATGTGAAAGTTTAGTTGGCTGGATGGATGGCTGTTTGTTAGAGTTTGTAGCCTAAACGGCTGAACGGATCTGGATGAAATTTGGCATAGATGTAGCAGAGTGTGGAAGAACACATAGGTGGGTATTTTTGTTTTTTTTTTTTCAATACCACTCGGAAGGAGTCGTAGGCAACAGCTATGCTATATAAAAAAGTATATTTGACGAATACACTTTTATTGACAATCTATCAAGCCAAATCTTATAACTTGAACCCAAACCTCATCTAAGCAACACCTTATTTTACTCCCGACCTTTCCCTTATTCATAGAATAAAAATTAATCACAATAATACGGTTAAAAAAGCTTAAACGATTTACGTAATGGTCTATTATTTTTTTCCAACCCCACGTCAAAGACCCCGGGGCGATAACAATTTTAATCTCGGAACATATGGCGTTTGAAAAAAAAAACAGGTAGAAAACATGAGCGCTAATGTGTGAAACTGACGTTAGAAAAAAACAACTAACATGTGGCGTTTAAGGCTTTGGGGACAAAGGTTTCTTTACTTAGTAGCTTAGTTTTGGTAACACGACCTCACAGTCAAAGTTTACGCTTAGAAAAAGTGGAGATTTTAGCATTTTGTCATTCGATATATTGTTGATATTAATTGTTAAATTTTAATGTAGATTAGCTTGTTTATGAATAAATATAAAAGAGAATCTACAAAATGAAAAAGATAAAATGTTTTCATATTACAATCAAGAATTTCATTATTTATAGTAATTTTGCTATTCATCAACTATAAAACAATAAAACATGGAATTAATAAAAAAATCACAGACCAGCGTCTTAATAAAATAGATCTCTTTATTAAATTTCCAACCTAATATTGTTAATATATTTGAACAATATTGGTCTATTGATTAATTCTAAAGATAATATCGTCTCCATCAAATAAGCTTATACCTTAGAAGTTCTAAATAATAAACTTTCGTTGAAAGCATTTATTACTTTCGAGACAATATGAGATTTATAGAGGAGAAGTTTGAAGTCTGTCCATTTTGTATTACAAATTCGAAATTATGATCGGACTTGAAGACTTTGAAAGTCGAGTTATGAAATTTTAATATTCATTAATATCTCAATGAACTATTTCAATTAAATCTATCGATGTTTAGATACGTTGAGAAATCACAGTAAACTAAAAACCACCTACTTTTAAACACTTTATTGACATATTAGTTGTTGCGACTTTGCTTGCGTGAAATTAAAAAAAAATAAATATCTCAATACTATTTCAATTAAATCTATCGATGTTTAGATACGTTGAGAAATCACAGTAAACTAAAAACCACCTACTTTTAAATACTTTATTGACATACTAGCTGTTGCGACTTTGCTTGCGTGAAATTAAAAAAATTATAAAAATTATAGTCACAGTGTTACTCACTGTTAACGTAGCTTTTTGATCGTGAATTTAAATTCGTAATTTTTGAGGTATTTCAATACACACAACAAAAACAAATCTTTCCTCTTTATATTATTAGTATAGATTAAAGAACAAAGGAATCCATTCACCTATCACATTCCTTGGTGGATGTTATCAAAGTTTTTTTGGTATAATACGCGGGAAAATGCCTGAGTTACACCAAAAAGGTTAATTTTTAAGTCTCAATTCCTTCAATTATGTGGAAAACAATTAAATAACAGAGCTAACTTTTTGATTCCGTCCGAGATAACTTCATAACGTATTTAATATGACAAAAATCCTCGAGGTTTAGATATTAATCATTCACGTACTAGACATCAACTTGACTAACATTCGCGGAACCAACACTGTTACTTAGGAATACATGTTCGCGACGTCGCCCGCGTAATTTAAAAAAAAAATAATAAAAAACGCAGCCTATGTTACTCAGTGATAACGTCGCTTTTTAATGGTGAAAGAATTTTTAAAATCGGCCCCTTATAATTAGCATAAATAATTTCAAAGTATGAAAGATCTTACCTTATGTTATGTAGGGTCGGGACCTCCATCGGCGGTGGTGGAGGTGGAGGTGGAGGTGGGGGCGGCGGCGGTGGGCTGGCCAACATTGGCGGCGCAGCTACAGGAACTGACGGAACTGCCACGCTTGGAACTGGTGGTGGAGCATCCGGTATGTCCGGGACCGGTACCGATGCTGGCGTCGGTTCCCCAACGTCTGGCAGCTGTTCCAGATCCAATTCCGTCAGATCGGGAACTGCGAAGTTGGTGTCGGGTGACGTGACCGCGGACGGCGCTATCGAACCATCGTTGGTGACGGAGAACTGCACGTCTCCGGCAACGCCCGGCAAATGGGGAAGGTCGAGGGGCATATCCAACTCCGGTACCTGGAGAAAGGATACCATGTAGATTCCTAGCTTTATCTTGATCGACAAGACTATAAGAACGTAACAATTATTAACAGATGGTTCTAAGGGCGTGTAAATTATCAACTGAAAGATTCGTATGTGTTAGATCAGGGATTCTCAACCTTTTTTTTAGCGACACATATTTAACGATTTTAAAATTTGGCGGCACACGAAGAAAAAGATATTTTTTTTTACTTACTGCAACACACTGCGTAAATAGTTTATGACAAAAATATGCAAAATTTGGCGGCACACTTTTGACATTTGTGCGCGGCACAGTGGTTGAAAATCACTGTGTTAGATATTAAATTCAATAAAAGTCCTAAAACGCATTTGTAAATGTTCTACTATTCAAAATAACCATGACGCTTCTCAGAAAAAGTGGTTCTTTTTTACATAATGTTGTTTTAAGATGCATGCTACATTTGAATATTTTAAATCACAGTAATTCTTTATTCCAAATATCATATTTTCCGCCCACGGCCGTAATTTATGATCATTATAAAAGGTCGATCAACCTTTATTAAATGCATCAAATTCTGGGTATTCAAAAACTAATTAATTAATTAGTCGTATCAAGAGTCAAGGCAACAAAACTGTGTATCTGTCACAATAAAGCATTCAGTTATTTATCAAAATATAAGGAAAACAACATCACCGACTTGGGGAATACCACTTGACTCAAAACTTTCTGGTCATGCATAAAATTATTTGGTGATATTTTATAAATAAACTAGCTGTTCCCGTGCGACTTCATCCGCATGAAATTGTGAAAATTTTATTTTATTGTTTACATCTGTCAGATTATCAATTACAAATGTCAAAATTATATGACATGATGACAACCTTGCTTTCTTGATGTTGGCAGCAACTTATGGTCTATTTCCCACATTAGTGTTTTTATCCAAAATATTTACCCCCAAGTTTAACAGCGTGAAAATATAAAACCTAAAGCGTGCCGAAAGTGTAGGGCTTTTTATTAAAAAAATTATTATTTAAAAATATCCTGTTATTGCTGACATCTTAGGCAACAAAGAAGTGTGTGTTTACGATTTATTATAATAGTATAGAAGTATAGATATAACGACCCAATAAAGTCTGAATATTTTCAATCTCAAAGTGGGCATTTTATAATAAAACCTGTTTTGATTAACTACAAAAAAAAACACCTATCAAACGAGAGATCTAATTAGAAAATCATTACCATTTTCGGACGTATTAAATAGAATTCGGAATAACAATTCTTAGAAATAGACCAAGAACGAACAAATTAATTAAAATAGTTCAAATATCACTCACCAGTCCCATTCCTGGCGCATACATATATTCGTCGGCTTCTCGTTTTAATACATTCCTTTTGACAATCGACGGCGGTGCCTCTTCTAGTGACACTTTGTTTTCATCATTGGTAATAGTCGTAGGTACGTAAGCCGGAACCTTGCTGCTACTTCTTACGTATGGACTCTCGTCCGTATTGAAGATCAGAAGGTCCCCTACTGTCGAAACGTTACTTATCACAGAATCCAAATCATTATCGGGTTTTGTAAAGTCTTTACAATCAGCTACTTTTACATGATAGAAATGTAATTTTTCCTGCAACAAAAATCATGAATTAGTTTTAAAGCTAAATATATATTTATAATTGTATAATTCAGTTATAATACCTGTATCTTTTTATCGTTAGACTGTCTCTGAACAACTCCACTCAGATTAATCTTTTGAGGTTCATGTTGGTAGCAATCTAGGTCGAATACGGATTTATAATGATTGTGAACTATAGAGGTTGGGTACTTAGCACTCGAGAATACTTTAATCGCTTTCTGCATGCCAGTGAGTTTTGTAACTTTATCTTTTGATATTTCAATTCTTTGTTTCAATTTATGAGTTTTGTCCATGTTCTGATTTATCCTGAGAGACACGCGAGCGAACACATCTTCGACTATCCCATTGAGATTATCGAGAGTTTCGGCTATTTGCAAAATGCTCTCTTCCATGCTTAGATCGTTAGGTATCAAATTGATTTTGTAGATACCCTCCATTATTGACTATTTTGTGATCGTGGAATTTCTGTAACAAACAGATCATTCGTTACAATAATCCTATACCACAAATGAAACTATTAATTACACAACTCTTTTTCTCATTATGTATCAAATTAGAATTAACTGGTCGATAGCAAAAACACAAAATTATTAGTTATTGAGCAAAAACACGTGTTATGTTATAAAAATATTGAAAATTGAAGTCTTACCCACGATTTCTTTTAAAATGACCTAAAATAAATTAATAAGGCACAAGAATTATCACTAGACGACACATCTGATTTCTTGTGTTAAATTATATATGTCCAATATTTTATATAGCACTCAATAAAGTTAAACTAGTAAGTTCAATATTTACAATTCAGTCACTAAAGAGTCTATCAGTACTGTGTCACTATTCTAGGCATTTGACTCAATTCTTATTAGTGTTTATCGTCCGCGAGTCGGCGAGTAACGAGTGAAGATTATCGTTGGCGGGATCAGTGCTCCAGGAGAAGCGGCAGTAAGCGTCGGGAGACATCGTGGGGTCTAGTACGGCGGACTCCTCTGCGAGCTGACCCGCATACAGCATGTTGTTCAGGTGCTTGTTGATCACCACGTCTTCCGGACTCACGTAGCCGTTAGAAGCGGACGGTTTCAATGGCACAGTATTACGTACGCTCGACTTAAGACTAGGAATGGCATCCAACGACTGTAACTGGATGTAGCTACTATCCGCGCTGGGTTTGACGGAGGTAGGCAAGGTGGGCATCGTCGGCAAGCTTTCCGGACCCAACAATTTTGACGGAGACGTCACCGGTTTGGGGAACGTCATTACGGACTTGGGTTGTGTGTCTTCGGGTCGCACATACCCAGAGGAAGGAG